CTTTCCTAAAGCAGCTTTATGGGACCATACAAATTGATTTGTAAAGATTTAGACCTGAAAAATATATGGCCATCTACCCAGGCCTTGGTAAAGGGCTCGTTTCATTAAAATTAACCATAAATTATTTACTTCCATGGTGATATTAATATAAGGGTTTTTTTCACAAGACCAATGCCTAGATGAAGAAAAATTTTCTTCAAACATAGTTTGGCACTGGCGAAGTAATAACATTCAACATTATGGGCATTTTGTAGTGATACTATGTAAACATTGTTTTCTTAAGTTCTCCTACCTAAATGGAGTATCTCAATTCATATGGAGAGATACTTTTATGAAGGTAAGCAAGTACTCAGGGGTGTTCATTGCTTAATTTCAGCTAACATTCAGGAACTCTGAGTAAAGGGATGCAAAAAGAGAATAAAGTGAGATCTCCTTGCTTGAGGAATCGTGGTCTGCTGAGAAGACAGACAAGTAAACAAATCAGGAAGCCTTCCTAAGCCCAGACAAATTTAAACTTTGAATTAATGTAAAGAAAAATTATGGGTTTGTGAATGAAAGTGAAAAACTTACTCCATATTCTTGGAAGATCCTGTGTAGAGATTCAGTAAGCTGAGTTCAGTGCTTGAGAACTACTAAAAACATAATGGATTGTTTTGGAGCTGGGGTCGCTGTGAATGTAACTGAAGTGTAGAGAGCTTGCGTCTGGGGTAGGGATGTTGCATCTGGAGAGAGTCAAGATGGCTGGCACTGGGCAGCCACACTGAGCTCTAGGGGAGTGCGTACAAGCTGGTGTTGCCAGCCAGTGTCTGAGTTAAAGGAGCGCATGGTTCACGGTTATGCCAGCTTAGTGAGACGGAAACTTTTCTAATTACTCAACTAGTCTTGAAAACTCAACCTATAGATTTATTTCTCCCTTCTGCTATAATGTTCTGGATCCTTTAAGTGCTAGGGTCCTAATCAGATGGGAAAGCCAAGGTACTTATGGAACTATTTTTACTCTGAGAATTTGAATTAAAAATAAATTACATTTAAGCCAGACACACTGTTCATATATTTTTTTTTTTTTAGAAACAGGGTCCCACTCTGTCACCCAGGTTGGAGTGCAGTGGTGCCATCATAGCTCACTGCAGCCTCCAAATCCTGGGCTTAAGTGATCCTCCTGCCTCAGCCTCCCGAGTAGCTGGGACTATAGGTGTGAGCCACCATGCTCAACTAATTTTTTTTATTATAGAGATGGGATCTCGCTATGTTGCCCAGGTTGGTATCAAACTCTTGGGCTCAAGTGATCCTCCCATCTTGGCCTCCCAAAGTGTTGGGATTACAGGCATGAGCTACCATGCCCAGCCCATATGTTGGATTTGAATACAACATCTCTTTTGATTCTTTCAGTAACCGTGTGGGGTTAGCATGCCTGTTTTACTTCAGCATCCATATTTCATAGGTGAGAAACCTGGGACACGGACACCTCAACTCAGTAACAGACTCACAGTTAATCAATGACGACACCGGGATTCAAGCTCAGGCAGTCTGGCTCCAGAGCCTGAGTCTCACAAGAGCTTTGTGAACTTGGGCAACTTGTTCAGTCTTTCTCATCCTGTTTCCTCATCTGTAAAATGGAAATAACAATAATGCCAGTTTCATAGGGTTGTCACGCACATAGCTGCTTTGTGTAGCGTTGACGCACAGATCCGTCCCCAGCCTTCCAGGGTGATGGCGGAGGTGGGGAAAGCCCCTCTCCTCCTGCACCACACCTGTCCCTGTGGTCAGCACTTCCTGCTCTGAGAGTGTTCAGTGCAAGAGAAGTGATCAATAAATAAATGGTAGCTGGTGGCCGTGTGAAGTTGTCATTTTTATTTAATCTGTAGCCGGAAGCTGAGATTGTTTTCTTGAAATCAGCGGGAGACATACGTTACATTGTGCTTGGGAATGAAATGTGTTTTCCACCCTTCTTGTCATTGCTGTTTGGGTTAAGAGCAGACTGTAGTTGTCGCCCTGTTGCCAGTTTTGAAGAATGTGCTGCGACAATAAAAAGAAAGAAATCCAGAGGTGTTCTAAGCCAGGTTCTGGTACTCATCTGTTTCGATTCAGTGTTTTTTTTTTTTTAACTTCGAAATTAATAGTTTTTATTTTCTGAAATTATTAAGTACATAGTAGTTAGATTTTTACAAAATAATGTACATTTTAAAGTATATCTAATTGAAGTTTCTTGAATTCAGCCTTGATTACAGCTAACTTAATGTGGCCTTCCAACATGAAAAGGTTCCCCACCCCTGGTGCATGGCTTTACTAGACAGCCAGAATGGTTTGTGGCACCAAAAGTTAAGAACTCTGACCTCAAATTTGTCCCAGTCGGCTGTACTCTGTTAATCCATAGCAATAATTGTTCCAGTATGCTTTTAGACTGAAGCTCGTTTAAATTAATAGAAATTGGCTTCTCTGAGGCTTTTCTTCATGGGCCTCCCTGGATAATGTGAGTTCCCTTTGAGTAGGTAGGAATGTTTCCCACCATCCTTGTACCTTGGCTTATTCATACAGCAGTATAGAGTCTACAGTGTCCTTTCACACACATTATGACATTTGAACCGCACGATAACCCAGTCTGGGGAACTCCATTTCCTCTCCCGCCCACCAACATCTCAATTCAGTATTTTTATGAATCAGACACTGGGAATGTCATCTCACCTCAGATATGCTCTGTGTTTCCTAAGTGACTTTGGAGAGGTCCCTGTGTTTGAAGCACATTCCCTAAGAGGTTATGAATTTAGCATTTCTTGACTCAAAAAGATGACTTCAATTTTTGCTTGGGAATGTTGTGCATATCCACATAAATATACGCCAATATTGATGTATTGGTCATGGTTCTCTAGAGAAACGGAACATGTATGTGTATATCCTATTGGATATCTCTCTAAGAGAGAGATTTATTTAAGGAATTAGCTCATGTGATTATTGGGACTGGCAAGTCCAATAGCAGTTCACAGGCTGGAAACTCGAGTAGAATTTCTACATTTCAGTCCTAAGGCTGAACCCCCTCTTCTCCAGGAAACCCCAGTTTTTGTGATTAAGGCCACCAACTGATTGGATGAGATCCACCCGTATTATAGAGAGTAATCTCCTTTACTTGAAAGTCAACTGATTGTTCATGTTAATCTTATCTACAAAATATCTTCACAGTAGTATTTAGACTAGTGTTTCACCAAACAAGTGGGCGCCGCAGCCTGGCCAAGTTGGTACATAAAATTAACCATCACATTTGGTTTCTGCCATTGTGTGTGAAGACGTCTGTGGCTAGCATCCGTCGGTTTCCTAGCTCATTCCAACTCTAGTTGAAAGCTGGTGTTCTGATGACTCCAGCAGGAGGTTAGAAACTTCTCTTACTCTTCCCTAAAGTATTTTAGTAGCACTTGACTGAGGAAAAAAGGATGAGAAAGTTTAGAAAGGAGAAAAAAAGGTCACTAAGCAACTTATGACATATTTACTCTTATTTTTTCAAGGATCTACCATGTGCCAGGCCAGGTCAGTTCCCCGTTCTATAGGGGCTTACAGTCTGGCCCAGCAAGGCCAGCGGGAATGTAAGTGGTGCAATAAACCATGGCAGTGTTGCAGGAAACAGGAGGGTGCAGAGGAAGGCTGAAGAGCTATACCCAAGTGGAGGTCGGGGTTAGGAATCACTCATCTCTGAGGCTGAGGCTTGAAAGGAGAGTGTTGGTCTGCAGACTCTCTCTGGAGAAGTCAGAGAAGAGGAGGGATCCCAGGAGAGAGAGATGTGAGACCAGGTCAGGGAAAGCCGGGGCCGTCCAACAGCTTGAGCAGGTTGCTGGGGGACAAAAGGCTCAGGGCTGTGAGATTGGTGAAGGCCGGGGGCACAGGTGGTGGCCAGATTATGGGGTCTGCATTTTACCCCATCAGAGGTAAAGATGAAACACAGAATAGTTTTAAATCAGGGAATAGCATGGACAGCACTCTTAAAAGAGATTTAGAGTTTGAAACTTAGTCTAACAGTGTGGCTGTCTTCAACCCATATAGAATAGGAATTGGGGTTAGGAAATCTCGGGGAAATGGGTCTCAGTACAGTTTATGGTATCTTCACTGCTTTAATTCAAAATCATCAGAGCAGCCTTTCAATAGAGATAACAGGTCTCCATGGAATCTATGAGACAGTTGGTCTCAAAGTTATTGCAAAATCGGCACAATTGAAATGTGGATTTCAGCATGACGGAAGGTAAGAAATAGAAAAGAAATTTATTGAGACCCTTAACCGAGGTCAGGTTCATGTTCTGTTCATGACTGTTGTTTTCCTTTTCAATTTGTTGAGTAATAACATAGTATCATCAGTTTATATTTACTTAACTCCCTCACGTTCGTGATCCAAAATCATCTGTGAGATCCTTATGATTAGTGCCCATACTTGGGCCTCATTTGTGCTCCAGTGATCCTGGCAGCAGGCTGGGCACATGATAGCCACTCAGTACGTGTGTGTTGGTGCATCTGTCTTAAAAAACCCAACAACTTCTCCAATTCCTTCTTGTTCCTGATGAGTGTTGGAGTACATAGTAGCAAAGAGCTGGGAAGTGAAGTCTGAGGTGCTCATGTATCCAGTGGCAAATGCTGCCTTTGGAAGATGCCAGTTAGTGCCAGTCAAAAGTGTCGTTTTGCTTTAAACATGCTCTGATGGTTTCTGCTAGTTAACAGCAAAGAGTCAGGGAGCAGCTTGTCCTCCTGAGGTTTTGGGTCAATCGATGGTTTTTACTCTGGGTATCGACAGCTCTCTGCCGCTTGCCCTTGTCTTTGGCTGCGTGGGTTGACTGTTGTGAAATGGATTATGCTGCTCATATTGCCTCTCGGGGCTTAATCAGTGCCCAGCAAGCGCTGCGTGTGGTGTGTCTGTGACTTTCTTTTGTCTTTTGATTGTTTGGGATGTGGGCTGCTGATGGTGCTGCTTTCGTGTGCTCACGCATTGACCGACCAGTGTTTAAATCAGAGTTTATGCTTCTTTGCAGGATGCCACAATTTGGAAGCCCGATTCGTGCCAGAACTGCCGTTGCCATGGTGATATCGTTATCTGCAAACCTGCCGTTTGCAGAAACCCTCAGTGTGCCTTTGAGAAGGTATGATATCCTAATTGTATCCTAAATGTATCGGTAAGTAAAGGGTTGGGTCTTTGCATTGTTCAGTCATCTTTTTTTGACATTTATCCCAACCTCTAATTGAAAGCGTTATGAAATGCAGAAGGGAATTTTAATACATCATTATCTAATAACATCCTAATTTTCCGAATTTTAACATATCATATCTAAGAACATCCTAATTTATATTTATTGAGCATTTACTCTGGACCAGGTACTCAGTTAAAGGTTTCACAAATGTTATCCCATTTAATAGTATGTGGGGTAGGTATCTTTATTCCCACTTTACAGATGAGGAAAGGGAAGCTTGGAGATTTTAAGCAACTTAACTATGATCATGCAAATAATAAACTGCTGCCCAGAGATTTTACCTAGAGTCTGAAAGATGTCAAAGCTGCTAATATTAACCACAACACTTGGGAATCATTGAATGGATTGAAAGTCAGAATTGATTCCTTGGAAATGATTTTCTAGGAATATCATCGGGATCTGCCACGGATTGTGTTACTGTGTCACCACTGGGCTCCCTAGCAACACAGAAGTCTTTGACTCGAGAAATCTCCTTGTATTTGACCAAGTCTGTGATTGGTGTTTCCTCCTTTCCCCTGTTAAAAATTTTGAGTTTTTTCTGATTACACATCTCTTTTGTTAGAATAATATTTTTTCTAGGTGCTGACTCCTTCCTTTTTAAAGTGAATCTGTTAAAAAAAAAAAAAAAGAAAAAAGCTTTAAATTTGAACTTTTCAGGTTCCCTGGACAAGACCGATTATTTTCTTTAAAAAGCATTCTGACAATTTCAAAAGCACAGTTTATTTTTCTAGTTTTTTGCCCTTCCCCCAATAATTAATCTTGAGCCTTTATGCCATCTAATGAGTGAAGCTATACGTTTAAGGGTATTCCTCCATTTTTGCATGGGTATATTCCTGGGAAGCTGGGAGCACATCAAATGTTAGTAAACTTGAGAATATTTTGTATATTATGGGGCTTTCTCTTTTACAGATTACATACTCACTTTCTAAAAAAATCACTACTTGGCTTGCTGAGTAACTCATATCAGAATCTGAGCTGGTGCTATAAAGACCTTGAAAAAAATGCCCCCCGTCTTCCTCCCACTTTGCACGAAATGTTAGAAGATCTAGATTGTATTGCTGAAAACTAAACATGTTCTATGTCGGGGCCTATGTATGGCCTATGAACTAAGAATGGTTTTTGCATTTTTAAATGGTTAAAAAAAATCGAGAACAGTATTTTGTGATGTGAAAATTATATGAAATCACATTTCAGCATTCATAAATAAGTTTTATTGAAATACAGCCTCGCTCATCTGTTCGTGTATTGTCCTTGGCTGCTTCTGCTGCAATAACAGCATTGTGTAGTTGTGATGAAGACCATAAGTAGCTCTCAAAGGCTAGATATTTATTGTCTGGCCCCTTACAGAAAAAGTTTCTGCTCCTTGCTCTATACCCAACTTGTGATTTTATACTTTCCTAATTTGTTCTTCTACTTTTTCTCTTCGTAGTAAATGCCAACTCCATTTTCTTAGTCGCTCTGGCCAGAAAACTTAGAGTCATCTCTGACTCCTCACTTTCTCCCACATCCTACATCCAGTATGTTAGCAAACCTCCAGCTCTTCTTCACAAAGCAATAAATGCCAAATGCAACCTCTCTGCTCTTGCCGTGGTGCCATCTGTTATCTGCCTATTTGCCTGGATTCTCACAGTAGCCTCTTAACTGGCTTCACTGTTTCTGTACTTACCTTTTTCACTGTAATCTTGATATAGCAGCCAGTGAAATCCTAGTAAAATTGAAGTCAGATCATGTTGCTTTTCTCCTTAAACCTCTCCAGTAGCTTCCAGTGGCTTCTCTTCTCATTTGAGGTAACTCCTCACAGTATCCTTTAAGGTACTGCCGCACCCCTCTAATTAATCTTCCACTATTCTTTCCCTTGCTCACTCTGCTTCAGACACCAAGCCTCCTTGCTGGTCCCTGGATATACATGTATATATCCGAGAAAGAACAATTTCAGCAGGAACAGCAAAGTGTGAAGGCCCCATGACAGAAGTGTGCCTAGCGTGCATATAAAGATGCATACGTGTGCATACATGCATACATATGTGTGTGTGTACATGGCTTGATCCTCTACTTCCTTTAAGTCTTGCCTGAATGCCGTCCTGTTTAAAATTGCAAATCTCCACCCTCATCACATATTTTGTATCCCTCTCCCATACTCTTTTCTTTTTGGCACTATTAACACTATCTGGCATACTATATATTTTACTGTTATTTCTTGTTTACTGTCTCTTTTATTCTCTGTATATCCTCAGCACCTACAATAGCACCTGACACATGGTAGGCACTCAATAAATATCTTTTTACTGACTGGCTGGATGAGAGATGAGCCCAGAGAGTTGATAAGTTCAAGGTTATGCAGAGCCTCGTGTGCTGTAGTAAGATTGGAATTTTGTTTTAAGGTGGTACAATATTAATATAAAGATTTCAGGCATAAAGGTGGAGGGGTCAGCTTTTCTTTTAGAAAGGTCTCGCTGGTTTTTCCAAGGTAATGCACAATATTGGAAATGTGAAGATCAGTTTAGAGGCTATGGGAATAGTCCAGGTGAGAAGATGAATACCAGGATTAGGGCAATGGCAGTGTAGGGGTCAATAAATATTTAGGGGATAAATCAGAACTGGATGAAAGGAGGGTGAGGGAACGGAAAAGAAGTGGCTGCCATATTTATGGCTTATGACTAGTTGGTTAGCTGGGTCACCAACCAATGTGGAGAATCCAGGAGAGTGAGGAACAACAGCCCATCTGAGAAAAGTGATGATTTCAGTTTGGGGCCCGTTGAGTTTGAAGTGTCACGGGAGGAGCCAGGTCGATATGCCAGAAAGGCAGCTGGTTATATGAGTCTGAAGCTCAGAGGAAAAGATGGGGCTGGAGATACAATGTGGGTATCATCAGCAGATAGACAGTGCAAACTCTTAGAACCAATGTGCTCATCCAAAGAGACTGTGGGAGAAAAAGATACAAGACTAAGGATGGAATTTGGGGAACAAAGCCATTTAAGGGGAGGTGAACATAGGGAGCTTAAGAAAATTAAGACATGGTCAAAGAAGGTAACAGTATTATGGTCTCCAGGAGAGTGGAGAATTTCCAAAAAGAGTTTGCGTTAACAGTGTTGATCATAGTTAAGGGAATAAGTAGGAGGAGAATTTCATGTGATCCGTTGGATTCGGCAACACGTAGGTCACTGGTGGCCACGCTGAGGCTGGAGTTGGTGGAGTGGTGGGAGAGGAAGCCGCACTGCAGAGGTGTGAGGGGTGAATGGAAGGTGGGGAAGAAAAGCTAAGTAAAGACCACTCTTCCAAGAGCTTGACCAAGAGTGGAAGAAGAGAATGGGACATCAGATAGGCAGCATTGTGTCTGTGAAGTTTCTTTGCACCTCCCCTCCCCAGCCGTCAAGCCCTCCCGGGTGCTGCCGTGGCGTCTGTCCCGGCCCTTCCTGTAGCCCTTGACCAGACTGTCTGCTTCTTCCTCAGACTGTCGGCCGCTTGGGCAGGATCTTATTTTCACTGTTGCAGCCCAGCAAACAGTGTAGTGTGTGGCACCCAGAAAGCACTCAGCCACTATTTGTGGAATGACCACACAAGGGAAGGGAGAGGGTTTGTTTTGTTTTTTTTTTTTTAGTTTTTGATATTGGCATGAAAGAAATATAATCACCTTAGGAGGGAAAGAGGCAGGACCCAGACCAGAAAGAGAAGTTTAAGATGTGGGGGTGAGAGACAGAGACAGAAAAAGGAAATTAGAAGGAGTGATTCTGGAGGAGAACAGAGGATGTGGGAAGAACAGAGGAGCATGGGGTAGGCTGGGGGGTGGCGGGGGGACAGCCTCCTTCTCTAGAAATGGAAAGAAAGAGCCATGCTTGGATGCAGATGGAATCAAACTTGCGGGTAAGAAAAGGGGCAGGATACTGAGGTAGTCCATACCTGATGAGCTTACTTCGTGAAGACTTTGAGGTACACCTGGGTACAGAGAGTACCGAATGTTAGGAGCTGAAACTGAGGGGAGAAAGGGACCGACCAAGGTCAAGGTAAAGGATTTGTGGGTGGTGCTAAAGGCCAATGGGAGCAGGAGGCCGTGAACCCGTAGGGGTACCAGGCTGCATGGTGGATGATTTTTTCAGCAATGCTTACAAAAGAGGACAAGGCAAATTGGGGGATAGATCCAGGATTGGGATTGTTTCATGTTAACGAAGAAAAAGAATACAGATGCAGGACGTGGTGAGCGGAGCTCAGACTAACACGAGTAGGAAAAGGGGGTCTGCTCAGGGCTGAATTACTGGGGCTGGGTGACTGCAAGGAGAAGAAGTGCTCAAGGATCTCCCTGATGAAATGAGAGGACACATGGGCGTGAGGGGGGGAGGGAGCTGAAGACTGTAGCAGGCTCAGGGGTGGAGAGTTGAAGATTCCTAGTTTATAGCCGTGTGAGGGTGGCCAGGTGTCAAGGTTGGCCACAGCCATGTGGAGTAAGGTGAGAATTGCTTGAATTGAGGTGGGCAAGAGTGTACGAGGATGGAATGTTGGACTGGTCGTTTTCATGGACATTGAAGTTGTCCAGAATGATGTCTAGACTTGGGGCAGGAAAGAGACTGAGATCCAGGTATCAAGTCTTTGGTGAGTGAACACGAGGGATTGGTCAGCAAATTGGTAAATGATGGCGATAAGGAAGAAGGCTGTAACCAGAAAGCATGAACTCTAAGGAAGGAGCTTCCTTATCTGTAAAATGAGGGGATTGGACCAGATGATCCAACCGCAGGAAACCTTCCAAAATCATGTAAGTGTTCCACGGAGCTGTTGGGTTCTTTATTTTAAGTAATGAAATCGGATCACAAGATGGTTGAGCTAGCAGGGACCTGTCAGTTAGTCAGACTTCCTCATCCCACAGAGAAGCAGACGTGGCTGTTTAGTCACTTGCTCAGAGACACATAGCTCGTAAGTGGCCCAGCCTCAACAAGAACCGCAGACCCTTGGTCACGGCCCAGAGCAGAGTAATGTCTACTCTACCGTGTGGCTCTCAAGTTTCCCTTTGTGTTTTCAACAGCATGTGTTGCTGTTACTCAAACATGCTATGGTGCATGTATATCAGTTTATGGCACAAGTTAATGAATCATTGTGCCCTAAATCATTGTTAATAATATTGTTAAAATTGGTTTCCTATCTTTTTTTTTTAACCTTTCAAAGTAATTTATGTTTTGATCATGGATTGACTGGAAGTAACCTAGTGTCAGTGGCAATTCTGATAGATATTTTTGATACCTATCTGTCATTTATTCATCCTATAATCATATATAGTAGATTCTACATCCATGTCGTATATCTGTATAGAATAGCTGGCTGAATAGATTAGCGGGTGGAGAGAGAAAGAGAGAAGACAAAGACATTTAGAACCTTGAATATTTAACCCAGTCCTGTCAGAACCAGTCTTGTCTTCAAGGATGTCTGGAGAACATATATGCAAAGAGGGCCATACCATGCAAAGAAATACTTTAGTATGTGGTGAGGTTTTGGCTGCAAACTTCAATGCAGATAATAACAGTATTTAGCAGATACAGTTGTGAGAATTAATCTCCTCTCTCTCTCTCTGTGTATCCATATATGTATATCTATCTCTCAGTCCAGTAGGCTTAGGAGAGTACCTGGCTATTGCAAGCACTCAGTAAGTGTTACCTATAATTATCAAACTATCATCATTATTATTGTTGAACTTCTAGGTCCTAAGCAAGTAATCTTGCCCAGCTCCCCTGGCAATGTTCACTGATGTGTCCTGCCTCTGTGGCCACTTTTCCAATGCTTTCCTTTGCAAAGCCTGGAGGAGCAGAGTGGGCCTGTGTGAGCTGTGCAGCCCACAGCTCACCAGGCCATGCAGGGCTACACAGTTAGGTGGCAAGAACTCTCTGCTTATCATTCCCCAGGCGCCCACATGCAAAATTCTTTGCTCCTCCTCTAACTTACCTCTTTAATATCCCACCAGAAGTTCAGTAGATAGACCCAAGTTGACCACATACTCTTCTCCTCCAACTGCCACTCACAAAAAAGAATATTATGTTTATGAAATGAGCTTTGAGGGCTAAATCTAAAAATTAGTTTTTATATAAAACAAAGGAAACTAATTTGGGGGCATAATATATCCCCTGAAGTCTTTCATTCTAACTGCTTTTTTTCCCTGGCTCCCTGCTTCCATGTTGGAATATAAAAATTTGGATTATCTTATTTTCTATCTGCACAAAATTCTTAGCGGAAATTAAGCTAAAGTAGTTTCTATTATTGTCTCAGTGGAAACTGACACATGTCGTTTTCTCTTGGGGTTCAGAGGGCACTTTTCTGTAAAGTCATTAATATGGCATAGTGTGTGTAATTTAGTAAAATTCCATATCATATAAGTTTTTTCCTTTGTCAAGCAAATGAGAAGAATTTGGTGGTCACTGTTATTGATGTATGTATCTGTTTAGTGGATTAACAATTGTAAAATCACAGTCCCATTTCCCATCTACTCTCATGGTTATAGTTATATAAAATTAGACTTCTCTTGTGGGTACATTTTTTTTTAAATGGAAGCAACCAAAAATGGCACATGAGACATTAACACGCTTACATACACACACACATAATTTTCCTAATGCTACTGGTTGAATTCTTTGTAGATTTTTATCCTGTGGACGCATCATGGTTTCCTGGCTAATGCAGGTTCTTCTACCATTTTTGGTCAAAATCACTCATTGCCTGTTCTGCCAGGTCTCCAGACTTGAGAGAGTCCTTGAGAAACATAGCAGAGGGGCAACTTGAGTGGAAGATCTAACAGGAGAATCACTAGGCCCCAAAGGCAAACAAACTTATGCTCTTTGCTCCATATTTTTAGTAACTCTTAGATACACAGATCCTTCACGGTGACAAATGGATGGCTACTTAACAGATGACACCTCCCCGATCAATCCTGGAGTATCAGGTGGTGGCCCACCCTCTTGATAGTATTGAGAAACACAACTGCAATTATAGAAGCCTTGAAAAACAATGTAGATCTTTATTGGGGACCAGGAACCCTACCCAGCTCATGACAATACATCTGTACGATACCTCCACACGATGCTGCTTCCTCTCAGGACTTTGTCCTCCAATATCCTGCCCCGTGTGCCTTGCGACTCTGCTTCCCAGGTAGAAGTTAACCATCAGAGAACTGCAGCTCCCCTCTGCTGGCTGCACTGGGCCTCTCTAAGGTAGCTGGAAGACCTGCCAGCCCTGTGGTCGGCCCCCTTCCCCACACTCAACCGAGGGAAACTGCTCATCTTGGGTGAAACTCAGATGGAGCATTTTAGTGAAAAAAGTCTTAACTTCATTACATGTGAAAAGATGTAGACTGTCTTTTTTTCAAGGAAATTATTTTCACAATGGGATTCTTTTTATCTTTGAGGGAAGCTCATCTTGACATAGATAGAACCCTTTGTCTTAGTTTATTCATTTTATCCCGTCTATTGTTGTCACCCCTGGAAACCCATGATTTTGTCACTCTGAGATGACTTGGGGTGTGATGAACCATGGTAACTGTGTTTGCTGCTGCTGTTTTACACCGAGCTGCTTTTAAATGCTCAGGGAGAAGTGCTTCGAATAGCTGCCAACCAGTGCTGCCCTGAGTGTGTCTCGAGGACTCCTGGATCTTGCCATCACGAACAGAAAATCCATGAGGTAAGCGTTTCCTGACCCAAGGTTGATTCTGTGTCTGTAGATCATTGGCGAGGGAAAGCTGAGTGTTAAACTTGTGTTGATGAGAGAAGTGTTTTTCTTTGCCTGGGCTACGGAGGACGTGAGGCTGATTTGAACTTTCTGTGAGTGTTTAGCTTCTTGAATGAGATTAAAACTATCCTATTTATTGTATAGCCCTATATAAATATTTGTAGATTGAATTTGTGTCTTAGGGTGTTGACATTGACGTTGAAGCAGTTGTGATGTTGAGAATACAAGCACCGCCTTCCTTCTGTCTGCTCCATACATTTTTTATTTGATAGTTACAAACAATGCTGAGCTGGCGAGTAGAGACCTTAGTACTTCCATGTTAAATATGAACAAATTGAATTGCAGAGAGCTTATGGCAATTGCCTGATGTCGTATTACGAATAAGTGGTATAACTTGGGCTGGAACCCTGGTCTTCTGACTCCTAATTCAGGGTTCTTTCCATTAGAGGAGAATTTCTCCATGTTATTGACATTTTAAGCTTTGTTGTGGGGTATGTGTTGTGCATTGTAGGATGTTCAGCAGCTTCTCTGGCCTCTACCCACCGGATGCCTGTAGCATCCCCCAGTCATGGCAACCAGAAACATCTTCAGGCATGGCCACATTTCTCCTAGGGGGCAAAATGCTCACCTTCTCCTCATTTAGAAATACAATAGTAGAAATCTATCCTAAGGGTTTTTTTTAATTCTTACATACTTTCTTATTCCAGATATTTCAGGATTAATTTAGAGATACTAAATATTGGTTTAAAAGTACCATTGCAAAGTTTATAATAGAAATTATGAAAATAGACAGTTCATCTCCACTCACACTTAAATGTTACCTGAGGTAGCAGGTGAAGTTGAATGTGATGGAAGAGACTTTACTGTAGTCCTCATCTTCCACCTGATACAGAACTTTCACAGGTTAGTGTCTCTGCCCATTCAGGAGAGAGCACAGGTTAGCAGGATTTGATATGCCCCCTCTAGGCTGCTATTCGGTGTGTACCGAAAACTCAGAGAGTACTTTGCTCGTGTCCCCTGGGATGGGATTGTCTTACTCGTGCCATGGTTTCCTAATGACACGAGGAAGTCACTCTTTCACTTTTGCACAATGTGTTGCTGAAAGACAGCCAAGAGGGACCTACGCTGGGAGTGTCTTCACGCCACCCATCACCGTGTGCGGCTCGCGTCAGCCTGTGTCATGTAGGGTGGTGTCAACTTTAAATGCCACAGAGGGAGAATTTCCCCTGGGACATGGAAGGTGCCACAGGGCAGATTGGTCATGGAAACAACCAGTTCAGAATGATGGGAATAGATGTATGGTTCAAGGTGAAAAACACCAAGCTGCATCTTTCCAGTGAAAGAACCAAAATAAGGTCAGGATCTGGGGAGAAAAACCCAGATATCTCAAATAAGAGGTGGCAGCAGGGACATGAGCAGTCGGAATTCAGTAAATCTTTGCATGGGCCACTCTGATAACACAGACACTCTCTCATGTGATGCTCGTGCATGTGTCCAGTTTTCTCGTCTTGGTTTAAGATGCCTAAGAACATTGACAATACTTTCTCTGTCTTTATAATGATCTTCTCACCCAACCTGGCACTTAGCACTGCTCAAGAAATGATGAATGAAAGACTCAAATGATTAATAAGCCCTGTCTCCAACCTCTCCACGCCCTGATCCGGGGGGCTGTTGGTCATTAACCTGTGTGGCTGGATAATTCTAGGCCCACAGATCTGCGGTGGGTTAGTTGGAAATCCTCTTGGCCCCCTACTTCTGCTGGGAGAGTTCAGAAAGTTCTCCTTCCGGTCCCCCTTCTCCTTGCCTCCCTCGCAGTTCACCTTTCTGTGATAACACATCATACGGAAAGCTCTAAACTGGGTAAGAACACGCCCATGTGTTGTTTTACCATATACAGCTTTCAAATTTTACTTCTGAGAAAATGTTGCATTTCTGGTACTTGATATAACTGAGAAAAAAGTGGAATTTCGAGAAGTATAGTTTTTTGGGGGAAAACCCCTCTAGTGGTCTGCTTCTTCAAATAGAGATAGAAGATTCTTTTTTAAGATGAGACAAAAATCTCCTAATTTTAGTCTTAATAACATTAAAATTATTATAATATGTTTCTTTTCTTCTTTCCTTCCTCTCTTTCTTTCTACATTTCCCCTGGGTCCTTGACAAACCCTTCTTAGTATTATCCGTTGTCTTGAGTGGTTTAAATGCTTATCTAATTTGGTCTGAGTCTCACCTCATCACTAGCATCACTAGAGTTTTTCCTGAATCTTGCAGCCTTTTCTTTTTTGCCCTTTCAGCTTGTTTGGGAAGTGGTTTCCAGAGAACTTTCCTCTCTCACTGAGCAGCAGTAATCCTGCCTTTAGCCTTTGGCTTGCATCCCATACGGGAGGTTATGGAGACTCTCCCAGTCCCTATAAAAAAGCCTGGTGTTTTTAGATCTTTGGAATGGTGATCTGAAGTGGAAGTTTTCCGCTTAGGATAGACTGGGTGTGGCCGGCGGGGAATCAGCTGCAGTAATACTATCCCCAGAGAACGTGGTTCAGGCACGGGAAAGTCGAGGTCGGGCTGAGCTGAGGGTTGCAGGAGAAGTGGAGCCTCGCTGGAGGACCTCCTGCGCGGGCAGAGGAGGCGGCACCTCCTGGGACTGGCCTTCCAGCAAGTCAAGACATGTCTCAGGACCATTCCTGGAGGGAGGAAAACACTTGAGCCTTTCGGCTGACTCGGGGTTATCTGAGAGTGTTGCACGGCTTTATTACAGCCAGGACTGGGGGGACTATTTCATGTACGACCTTCCCGAAGCTGTGCTTTCAAATTAACTTTTGGATCTGTGCCTGGCCCTGCCAACAAGCCAGGGAGACAAGCCTCAGTGTGTTTTTCTAAAGAACTGTTTGAAAGCTCTTTTCCTGTTCCTTTCCCCACAAATTAGCTTGTACAAGGGAGGGGAAAGGAGCATTAATCCCCTTTCTTCCCTTCTTTACTGATTTAATCCCAGCACCGGATATTGTCCCATCTGAGAAGGTAGGGCAGGTGGCAACGCCCAAGTGCTCAATCTGGCTGAGCAGAGGCACGGGGTGCGCTCACTGTGCCTGTCTGCGAGGCTGAAAGACTGATCTGTGCGTGCAAGGAAAGAAATGAGTATTGAATTCTGCAACCTTGTTCTCCTCCAAGCAGAGGATGTAATTAAAATATGCACTGAACATTCCCAGATATTTAGTATGCTGGGTCTATAACTTCATAACAGGAACAAATTATATGAAGAAAAATTATTTTTTTGCTCTGTCAGTAAGCCGGGCAAATGCTTTATGACCTTATCTTTCCTTTGGACTGTGTCAACAGCCAAGCCAACTTGTTAGTCGACTATGCAGAAGAATATATTTAAGATGTTGTCTGCAGAATTTGCTTTTGCCCATGTCAAACTCTCATGTTTTCAAAAAAGCATTTATAAGGTTAAGTAAGACGGCACAGATAGAACCAGGTCTCGTGGGAGCATTGCTTTGTGCTTCAGTTATTCCTTCATTTCACAAAGCTCTCTGCCGCTGCAGTGCTCATAAAATAACGCTTTTGTAAATGGGTATGAAGAGCACTGTGAAGTTACACACACACACATCTCGCCATGTGCTGAACGCCTTGAGCTCTAGGCCGGTCCTTCACATGCATTATCAACCCTCAGAACACTCTGGGGAAGGAGGTGTCCCTGTTCCGGGCATAGGAGTAAGAGGCAAACACGGAGGGGACTTACGCACCTTGTCCCCTCCAGAGATAGGGGAGCAACTCCTCTTCGTCACGCTGCACACTTTGGACCACCGTCTGGGGCTTCTTCTGTGGCTGCGACATTAAGCAGTGGAGCCCCCCAGCCGACTGTTCTGTCATTTCCGTAATTCTCATGTTTATTGTGAAGGGAGAATCCATTGCTTGGTTTTATCTCTTGAGTTAGGTAATCGATTCACAAGATCAGAGCGCTCATAGGTACAAAGAGATTAGCTGATAAAGCTCTCATGTCACAGGTGAAACACTGGGTGATTGACAGGTGGTTATTATAATTAATTTTTGTGTTTTCTGTCTGAAAGGTGGTGTGATCGCAAATGTTTTGGAAA